TCGAGGGCTATAAATCCATTAGCAAATAATTTCATGGAGTTCAAATTCTCAATTCCGTGAGCTATAACCCTTGATTTTTTTTCTACATTTAGTTGTTTCAATTCATTTGCAAATATTTTTGCCAAGGCTAAAATTTACTATTTCATGACTTATAAGCTATGATTTTGGCCATTTATGTTCGTTTCGGCCATTTGATAAATAATTTTATGGAGGCCAAAATTCATGACTTTGTGAGTTGTAAGCTATGATTTTTAGACTTTTTTTCCTTCCATTCCATTACAAATAATTTTTTAGAAGAAAAAATTTCACAATTCCATGAACTATAAACCATGATTTTTAGCCATTTTTAATCGTTTTGACACTGTAGATGGTAAAAATGTATTTTTACTTAGGCCAATGATCAGCTTAGATCCAAGAAGTGAACGCTCATAGGCTAAACACTTCAAATGTGCTTAAAGTTAAGCCCACAACAAGATACAATGAAGGACACATGATGGTTGAAACGAACCTCACCAAATAGCCTGTATCGACTCGTCTTGACCAAATCAAAAGCGAGTTGACTCCCAAAACACTTCTCGCAAGGCCGAGTCACCCCTTCTCGCTAGGCAGTGTCCCTTCTTTCCGGTCCGGGTCGAGAACTTTCAAGGACGACCAAAAAGGTGGTATGTCTCCCCCTTCTCACAAGGATTCATCCCTTCTCACTAGACCGAGTCATCCATTCTCGCCAGGTCGAGTCATCCCTTCTCGCCAGACCAATTTGAGATGCATCATTAGTAGGCCAAACTAGAGTCGGGTTCTATATTAAATTCGAACTTATGGGTGAAGTTTGCCAACTAATAAACTCTACCAACGTCAACTCAAATGGACCAAGTCATCCACTTTTGAAGAAGACTTGCCCACGTCCACAGGGACCCTTGCTCACGACTTCAGTGACATCCGCCCACGTGTGCAATGAACTTCACCAAGCCCATGAAGCTCGCTAGATAACCGTTTGTAAAACCCTAAAATTTTGAATATTTTATGATAAAGAATAATAAATATGTTATATATTTATAAATAACATATTATGATGTTTGAGTATGTTAGAAATTGATTTGAGATAAATTCAATGTACATATGTATATATATAAGAGCAAATGCACAAATCATGCTCGATGTATAAATCTGAAAATTTATGACCAGTTGAGAGATTTTATATTTTACATACTGATACTTTATGAATATGGAAAAACTTAAAAGACCAAAGTTGTATATATCTTCAGCAACTTTCCAACAAATCTTTAATCACCTCATTCCGAGGTCGGATTCGAAAGTTACAGCCAAAATATCAAAGAGTATGTTTCTAGTAAGACTGGGTTTTCCAGTTTCGGGTTTCGGGTTTTAGGCTGTAGTTTTTCGGGTTTGTTGTCATATATACACATGTTTAAACATAAAAAATACATCTTTTCTCCTGTGTTCCAAACCCTAGCAGCCCCTTTTCCCCTCTCTCAAACCCTAGTTCTTTTCTTTGGCGATTTTGAGGGATTTCGGAGGATTTTTTAGCGGGTTTTGTGCAGTGCAGCGAAGGGGATTGGTTCTCTTTCATATGGTAGGAGGTTTTCAGCATCTAAGGTGAGTAACATCTCTCTCAACTCTACACTCTTTTATTTTGCACATTTTATTAAGTTTTATTCGGATTTTTCGAGCCTAAAACGTATTTTTAGTGTACAAAAGATAGATCTTTATAACTTATGAAGTAAGAATATATTATCATAATTTTCTAATTGATTACAACAGTAACCTTGACAAATTTCAGATCTGAAATTTATTAATCATGAATTAAATCATAAGTTTTTACTTTTAAAACGTTTAAACATGTGTATATAAATGTTTAGGGTTTCGACGATATATTTAAATGTTAATATTTCGTTTCATATTGTTTCATATATGTTGATATCAGTAATATTATGCTTGAAAAATAATGATGTCACTTCTAGATTTGTTTCGAAGCAGACAGAAACCTGTGAAGGGTTTCTGCCTGTTTCAGTTGATCGCCGGTACAGTTTGTGCATGTTTACTTTTGTTGTATGCTTTAATGTGAACGAGAAGTCGCCTCGAATATTTAGCATTAGAAATTATTGTTTATTATGTATCTTCATATGTGAGATGTCTTGCGGACATGAGTTTAGATTTGGACACCGAGACACGTGTGAAATTAGTGTATATGCATCCTTTTCATATATCTCATTGATATTCTACACATTTTATTCAGTCCATGTGTTGGGCAATTATTATGTGCAGTCCATGTGTTGGACATTCATCATATTCAGGCCATGTGTTGGACATTCATTATATCCAGTCCATGTGTTGGACATTCATCAATCAGTCCATGTGTTGGACAATTTATATATGCAGTCCATATGTTGGGCATCCACTACACCTAGTCTTAGTCCATGTGTTGGACACTTGTTTAAACCTTGAGTATGACACTTACACTTACATAGGCTGGACATGACACTTATGTGGGTTTTGACATGACATGATATTTGAGTTCTGAGATGGGTTAGTCTTTTTTATATTATTGTTCATGTATTAGATCTTGGGTTTGGTATTTAGGGATTTACAATTTGAGATACAAGGTATATACAAGAGGGTTTTCTTGTTTGGATTATTTCGCTCGACGTACTTATGCTCGTGTTTTAATTTTCTAAATACTAAAATCCTCTTATTGTTAGGATCAATGATTTCATATATATATGTATTAACTGTATTTTCTATATGCAACGAGTCATCTCCCTTGGGGTTGATTGTGATGTTGCTCGCTAGCGCTTTGATGTTCATTGTCCCCTCCCATTTCAGGTAACAAGCTAGTTGCATGGAGAGTCGTAGGTTGATGGCGATACTTATTAGCGTCCATCTTTTATTTATAGTTTTATTTTATATATGGAGCTCCACTGTAGACATTTTGTTTAGACATTTGAAAGTTATGTTCTAAAAGTTGTAAAGGCTGTGTGCCTTATTTCTTTTTATCAGATATTCTGTATTTGAGACTTGTTGAGATCTCCAGACTAGTTATTTCAGAGATTCACTTTATATTTTTGTATGTTGGATGATAAAATATCATTTTTATCTCTATTATTTCATCATATATCTCTTGTATTATCTTTTACTTGCTTTTGTACTTACACCTGTTGTTGACTCTACTAGAGAGATAGTAATTGTGATGGTGAAGCATGTTATTATACGGTGTGGTGCATGGCAGGTTTGACATTCCTGGTTTCACCTCAGACTACAGTCTTGTGTGAACCCAGGGGCGTCACATGTGGTACGGGCGAGGGGGAATAGCATAAACCTGACTCAGCTTGTGACCGCTGCTCTGCTGCCCCCCCCCCCCCAACCCCTCTCTGGTTGAAGTGGCTATTGAAGGAGAGAGGTATTTTTGAGTAAGAAAGAAGAGACTAGAGGTTTTTAGTTAAAAGTTTTAGCTTTTTTGGGGTGTTTTCTACAAAACTCCTAGCTAACTCGCAGCCCAACGCTAGCAGCCACGTTGGAGTCACGTGAGCCGTCACGTGAGAAAATGGCCGGAAAATTGGGCCCGGCCAAACTTAAGGCCTATTTGTCTCCGGAGTTCAGAAAATATAGCAATGTGGTACCAGAAAAAAATTATATGCCAATCTGTCACTATGAGTAAATAAAATATACCAATTTGGTCATTTTGTCGATTAATGGGTATCCTTGATAAGGAGGGGATTTTCCTCCTTGACAATGACGTGGCATAATCCCAACCATGATTTCACACTCATACTTCATTCTCTCACCTTCATAGGTGGGGATTGTGCCACATCAATTGTCAAGAAGGGAATCCCCCTCCTTGTCAAGGAATACCCATTAATCTCATATATATATATATATATATATATATATATATATATATATATATATATATGATCATATCATAATATAATTATATATAAAATATATATACAACATATATAGATATATATAAATATTAAATATATATAAATAATATAAAAACAATATATAAATATAATAACCGGGTCGGGGTGGGCTCGGGTTAGGTTCACCAAGACAACCCGGCCCGGGAGCCCGGTCACCGCGGTTTTCCAGGCTTGTCGCTGGGCCGAGGCCGGGTTCGAAGCCCAGCCAGGTTTGGGCCGAGCTCGTACCTTGGGCCCAAATGGACACCCACATAGATGAGGGAGAAAGAACGTTTACTCTTTGCTTCTGGGAAGTACAGTCCTTTACACTGGACAAATTTTTGAAATAGAACTTTTCAAAAACAAAGTTATCAATTTCTACCTACTTACAAAATATTTATTAAAACCGACCTAATTTCAGCGATGTCAGCAAAATTAGGTTGATTTTGATTAAAAAAATTTCGAATTCCACGGGATTAGCAATCCTGTGAAGTAATCTTGTGAAGTTAAACTATGTGTTAAACTCTCCGGGATTCCCAATCACATAGAGTTTACGGATTTTTTTCAAAATCGATCTAGTTTCCAAAATATTTATCAAAACTTTGACATATTTTCAGCCAATGCGGTAGTAATTAAGTCTATTTTGATAAATATTTTGAAAATAAGTCTATTTTAATATATTTTTTTTTGGAGTAGGTCTAATTCAAAAATTTGTCCTATTTTGAAATCAGTCACTCAAAACATTGAAATTGTTAGGTATCGCCATTTCCGAGGTTATTATGAAATTAGTCCCAGGTTGCTATTGGGTCTCCCAATTCTTCAAATTAGCTGCTCCAGTCAAGAGTAGAGATAGCAGTTAGAGAGATTAGTTTGGAACAATTTATGAGAACTGGGGACCTAATACCAATTTCAGTGATTTGAGGAACCAATTCACAGTAACTTAAGAACCGTGGGACGTTATATTAATTTCAATTACGTGAGGGCAAAATTCAAAATACGAGAGATGTAAGGGACCAATATCTAAAAAACTTTTTCCTGATTTTGGGCTTACTGAACCTAGTCAGCTGTAGATTAACCTTTGGGCTACTAATAATGGCCCAGAATCTTCATTAAAGTCCAGTTATGGTTTTATGGCGCGAGAGCCGGATCCCCACCGTATAAATCCCTCGTCTTCTCTCGTCTCGACTCCGGAGAATTTTAATTGACTTCTAATAATAAAAAAACATCATTCGTGTAAAATTTAAGTTTTTTCCCCTCTCAACATTTTATATTGCTATGATCTCAAGACTCTCCAAAGCGAAGGGTTCATCCTCTCTCTTCATTCCCTGTAAGTTCCCTCGTCACTCTTTTCACTCTCTCTCTTTTTTTTTTATTTAAATTTTTTGGGTGATTTGGGATCAAATATTTATCTCCATTTCAACATGGGTTAAAGTTTTCATGCATATCATGTCGACCTATTTTTTTTATTTACTTGAATTAAGCCTTAACTTGCCTGAATGCTTGAACGCTCAAAGGTTGGAGACCTGTTTGATTAAATGCTAAAGAGACGGCCTTTTGTGCTCTTTGATTCAGATATTTATCAGAGGTTTGCTACTCCAGTGAAAGTGTTCGTGTCACGTTCTCAGATTGAATTGATTAGTAACAGTTTTCGATCGAAAGAAGCACACTTCTTCTCTTTTCCGCGCCGTGACCTACATTCTAATGAAGTTGATGGTCCTTCTATATCTGACAATGATTCGAATACTAGCAATGTTGTTATGATCCAAGATATTCTGAAGTACCATGAAAATGATTGCCAACTCGAGAAAGCCCTTGATCAGTTTACACTGTCAGTAAATGAGGATTTAGTTGTTCAAGTACTTTGTAGACATCGTTCAGCTTGGAGGCCTGCATTATCTTTCTTCAATTGGGCCTCTTCCCAGAAAGGCTATTCTCATGGCTCAAGGGCTTATAATGAAATGCTCGATATACTCGGTAGGACGAAACAGATCAAATTAATGCAGCAATTGTTTGATGAAATACCCAAAGAGAGAGTAAGTTCGGTTATAAATAATAGGACTTTTGCTATTCTGATGCATAGATATGCGGGTGCGCACAAGGTACAAGAAGCGATTGATTCATTTTATAAGAGGAAGGATTATGGTCTTGAACTCGATTTGATTGGATTCCAAACACTATTGACGTCTTTATGTAGATTCAAACATGTTGAAGAGGCAGAAGCTCTCTTTATTCAGAAGCAAAATGAGTTCCCTCCTGTTATAAAGAGTAGGAATATAATTTTAAATGGTTGGTGTGTATTGGGAAGTTCACATGAAGCCAAAAGGTTTTGGAATGATATAATCTCTTCCAAGTGCAAGCCGGACTTGTTCACCTACAGCATTTTCATTAATTCTTTGACAAAGGCTGGAAAACTAGAAACTGCAGTGAAATTATTTACCTCCATGTGGGAAAAAGGATGCGACCCAGATGTAACAATCTGTAATACTATCATCGATCAACTGTGTTTTAAAAAGAGGATTCCAAATGCTTTGGAGATTTTCGGGGAAATGAACGAGCGAGGTTGCCTCCCCGATGTGGCAACCTATAACTCTCTCATAAAACATCTTTGCAAGATTCGGAGAATGGAGAAAGTATACGAGCTTTTGAGCGAGATGGATCAGAAGAACTGTCCTCCGAATTCTAGAACTTACTGTTACATATTGAAAACTCTGCAGAAGCCTGAAGAGGTCGGTAATTTATTGAGGAGGATGGAAAGAACTGGATGCAAACTTGACAGTGATATCTATAATCTTATACTAAACCTATATGTAGGATGGAAATATCACATAGGCATCAAGTCTGTGTGGGCAGAAATGGAGAAAAATGGACAGGGTCCAGACCAGCGTTCATACACAATTATGATTCATGGGCTTCACAGCCAAGGTAAACTAGATGAGGCTCTTGAATATTACAGCAAGATGAAGTCAAAAGGAATGGTCCTGGAGCCGAGGACTAGGTTATTGATAAAGGCAATTCATTTAAAGAGAGGGGATAAGTAAAGAATCACCCCATCTTCCTGTGTCAGCAAAAGAGAGGAGATGAGGACCTTCATGACTGCCAAAAATTGGTCAAGTGTAATTATTTCGTTTTCCTCTTGGTAGTAAACCCTGTTGGGTGAATAACAAGTGTGATTGCTCCATTACCTTTGCACTGTGCAATTTTGGTGACACATTGGTATATCACTCTAATATAAATTTACAATGTCCCTGTGAAAAAACTTGTGATGCACACTTTCTTCCTCTTGTCCTTAGAACAAGAGATGCTATGTTCTCTGAAGGGCAACTTTTGCAGTCAGTGTCATAGGATTGGAGCTCTATTAAATTATCGTTCTGAGACGATAAGAGACTATATTTTCCTAACATGGTGCTGGATTTTATTGTTTTAGCCCTAAGCTGCTTAGCTGGACATTAATATGGGATTATTCGTTTTTTTTCGCTGTTGCTTCTCATATTGTTTTCATTTTTGATTTGGTATTCTATTTCAATTCTGTTACAGCGAGTACTATCTTTTTTGTGTTAGATCTACTGCGATCATTTCTCAAAAAGAAAGCCCTATTGTAATCAATTATAAATTTGGTACCTGTCATCAGATGATTCCAAGGATAAGCAGTACCTATTTCCCTCCTTATCTAAAGAAAACTATGGTTACATCTCTTGATGGCAATATCTCTTTAGTTACTTTATACTTTGGCAACGGTCCTTCTATTTTCACATGCACTCACACACAACACACGCATGTATGTGTACACACATACCCCACCCACCCACCCGCACACCAACACATGCATATTTATGTGTGTGTATATGCGTGTGTGTACACCCCCCTGGCCCTTCCAAGGATAAGCAGTACCTATTTCCCTCCTTATCTAAAGAAAACTATGGTTACATCTCTTGATGGCAATATCTCTTTAGTTACTTTATACTTTGGCAACGGTCCTTCTATTTTCACATGCACTCACACACAACACACGCATGTATGTGTACACACATACCCCACCCACCCACCCGCACACCAACACATGCATATTTATGTGTGTGTATATGCGTGTGTGTACACCCCCCTGGCCCACCCACCTACATACACACGCATATTTATGCGTGTGTATATACACATGCCTGTGTATGGAGATTTTAATACTCTTAGGAAATAACTAGCTTGATTATACCCAACTCCTACATCATATGTCATCACTTAGCATGCAACCCATTATATCAATAGGTGCCTTTTGTTGTTTTGTTAGGAAACCATTAATTTTTGCAATCATTTGATACACAAGTAATATATACTCAATATACTTGATTTTTTTGTTACTAGACCTCTCAAGATATATAGATCATGGTGAACGAAAAGGACCATCCAATTTCATTACATAGACATTTTCGCGAGTAGGCATAACCAAGCTGGTTATGTCATCCCCTTGTAATAAAGAAACTAGAAGAATGTATGTTCAAGATTATAGAATCGGTATAATGGCAGTCATGTAAGTGTAGGGAGAAATTAGTAAGTTTTGATAAACATTTTACAGACTGAGCTCAATTCTTTAAGATAAAAAACTTATCAAATTGTAACACACTTAAAGCTCTCTGTACTATTTGAACTCTATCAACAATGCTTCGTCATTGGCCGTCACTAGTAGAAGCATTGGAATGATCATAATTCCTAGACAACTTTACAAATGTGAGGAAGCTAATAAGAGCCAACAGAGCCAAAAACCAGTAGTATTTATCCAGCCTAGCTTCACTCATATCATCAGAGAACCAACTATTATCTGTACCAGTGAACATCTCAACCACTGAGATTAGTAACGCACTTAGGAGGCTTCCCACTCCAAATACACTGAGATACAGCGCTATACCGATAGTTCTCATTGTCGAAGGTACTTCTGTATAGAAGAACTCTTGCATTCCTACTACCGTAAATACATCAGAGATCCCTACGAGAATATATTGAGGTAACAACCAGAAGATGCTTAATATTTCATGTTCGGGTTCTTTCTTACTAAATTCTAACCTCTTTGTCTCTACAATTGCAGCAACAATCATGGCGAGAATGGAGAGTACCATGCCAATCCCCATTCTTTGGAGAACACTGATGCCTCTCTCACTGCGGGTTATCAAACTTAGTATGGGACTTATAAGCTTATCATATAATGGCATAAGCAATATAACGGAAAGAGTTATCGCACTCTGTAGTGTCGCTGGAGGGATCACAAAGCTGCTTCTGAATGTGTGCTTCATTGCCATGCCTTGCTTTGTGAAGAAGGTTAGTGGTTGTTGAAAGATAACTCCAAACATTAGGAGCATTATCCAAATAGGGAAAAGCCTCAGCATCTTTTTAGCAACAGTGAATGTTTCATCATTCTCTTTGAAGTTTGTGTCGCTGTTTTTTGAAGCATTGAAATCATCCTTCAGAGGTTTCTCTTGTAACCTACATTACATACAATCACATATCAATAACCATTGTACATCATCGAAAGTAAAGCTCAAACAACTTACTCTAGTTCGTGTAGGTCATCTCTTGGTCGTAAGCCTAGCTTTAGATTAATGATATTCTTTATAGCAACCCTTGTAGCTTGGACGATGTTTTGATTAGATGGACTGCTAACATTGAGATGCTTCTTATATACATAGAAACGTGCACAAGATAAGAAGCATATCACGGATAAAATCATTGCGCTGGTAGGGATAGCAAACCCCAATCCCCAACCTATGGTATCTTGGATATAAGACATGAGGGAGTTCCCTGAGAGGCTACCACTGCAAAGGCCAAAGTACCACCATTGAAAGAACAAGCTCTTCTTTCTGCTGGTTTTGCTTTCCTCATGGTGATCATCATCTAACTCCAATTGATCTGCACCAAATGCTTGCAATGATGGATTGTAACCAGCTTGGCCTACAGAAATCAAGTAGAGAGGGATAAACAGGGAAGAGGTTGGCATGTGTGAAAATAGTATTGTCCATAGTGTCAATCCCAGAAGTCCCTAGAGAAAGAACAAGAAAAAGATCAGAAACCACTAATATTTAATGAGAGAAGACTTCTTGTTGATTCACAATGTTAGAACAACGTAGAAAAACACCTATTTCAACACCTAACAGAGCCAAAGTATTACAAGACTCAAGCAGAAAACCCATATTGCATTTAATGCGAAAATAACACTAAAAAACACATATTATCTGTGTTTTGTGAAGCATTTTTAGCAATTTTGATGATCAGATTGAGATGCATGGCGATATCTCCACTATTCAAATCAGTATCATGCTAATCAAAATAAGTTCCCTATTAAATCCTCAAAATCCAATTTCATTCATGTGAAAAACCCTAGCAATCTTCTAACCGCATCCCCAGCGCCTCCCTCATCTCCTACCTCTCCACCTCCTCTCCCTCCTTCAATGAAGAAACCTATCAATCTATTCTTCCTCTCACGCCTTTGACGAAGACGAAGCCTCTCGCCGCCGACAAGGGTCTTCTCGTCCTCTATCTTCACCTACGACAAGGCTCCTTTTTAGTCCCTCCTTGGCTCCCATATCTCCTCTCGCCAATGAAAAAAAATCTTAATCTCATCTTTACCTCCAACGCCTCTCCAGCTTCTAAATCCTAACTCCTTTATATGAAGAAGATAAAGCCTTCTAAATCATTAATCATGCAACTCTTCCAGTTCTCCTTCATGTCTTAAAATTTTTATGATACTAATTATTAAAGTCATTACTAATAGATTATATGAATAAAATATCTAAATAATTAATAAACAAAATAACCTACATTATGCATTATGGTTTTTCCCCTTAACCCATAACAGAAGGTATAGCATTACGTAACGCATAATTGTTATTTTCAACATTGTGTTAGATATAGTAACTTAGCTACAGGAATTGAAAATTTATACTTGATCTATCATGGATGCTCATTGTAAACTCTTTTTCTTTTTTGAGTAACAATAAGATATCCAGAGAATTTATTAACTAAAGCATAATAGATACGGGATATACGCAAAGTAGGAGGTAGGAAAATTATAAGATGATAGACTAATAAAGCTTTCAGAATCAAGCTGGTGCATGCTGTTTCAAGTTGGCCATCTATTCTGGTGTAAGATGTGTATACGAGAAGGAAGATAATTGTACAATCATACAGAAAAGGTTGATTCCATCTCTAAATTGATTCTGAAAATAGCATGAAAGGACGACATAATCTCATTATTTACCTGACAAGTAGTTCTGAAGTCAAGAGTGTTGAAGTACTACAGTTGATGTTGGAAGTGGATTGAAACAATAGTGCAAAAGAATGTGATCTCAAATTGTTCAAGAGTGTAAGAACACTAGAGAAATATATGATCATTGAACTCCCGCTATTGTTGCAAGAGGATCACACTCTGTATATTCTACAACTCACATTGATGGATGGAGAAACTTACCCCAATATAGAGCATGGACGATGCTACAATAGCAGAATATCGATTCCAGTAAGAATCAGTGAGCACTGCACTTATAAGGGGAAGCATCAACGTTACTCCGCTCCAACTGCTGACACTCTTCGCAGCTGAAGATGTGCTCAACTTCACCACATCAGTCAAGTAAGTTACCATGTTTGAAGCTACTCCCTTATATGCAAATCTCTCCACACTTGCCACAACTGCAACACAAAAACAATCTTAGCTGATTCAATAACTCAGTTTGATTAGAGATATAGCGACATATAGAGACATGTACCTATGATGAGAATACTTGACTTGCTAAGGCTTGTTGATCTCTTTTCTTCTACATCCATTGTAAGAGAGAAAATTTTAGTGCTATGCCAATTGCAATTCAAGCAACCAAAAACAATACCCACACCAGAGTTATACGCAAAAGGTGCTTTTCATAAAAGTATGTGACTGCAGGATTAGCACATCATGTTTCATGGTGCATTATCCTTAGTGGCCTGTGATGTCCTCTGCCAAAATATAATAATTGAAAGAAACATAATTAGAGAAGGCTTTGGATTATTAGGGAATAGTTACTGTAAGCTACTGAGTAAACAAGGAAAGAGGCTAGTCCTTTTCAATTTGGTGGTATCCCATAGACGGAGAATCATAGATACGAAACAGAAAATAACAGTGGTGGATACATGCATTCTTTGGCCCTATATGCTTTTCTTTTACAGGAATCTTAGTGTTGCCATTGATACTCTCATTACACTTTGAAACATATCAAGATGTATTTACATACTTTTAGTGAGCTTAGCTCATGAGGTATGATACTTCCTACAACAACATCAATGCCTTAATTCCAGATTTTCACGATCGGCGACATGAATCATATTCATCCATTCAGTTTTGTTTAGGACTATCTCCTACGTTAACTTATCCACTATATAGCATCAAAACCGACATCTTATTAACACTTAATGTGTCAGTGAATGTCATCTCCTCAAATAGATACCATATATTTGATCATGGATATACCTTCTCCAACATATATATGCTCTATTCAGAGTCTTGTAACATAATAGATTTTGATGCTCCATCGCAACTTCCACATGTCTCACTCTTATTCTTTTGCTCATCCTCCAAATTCCTTATGCTTGGTGCACTGTGAGCTGATGGTGGTATTAGGATGTATTTACATCTGTAGATTATATGTTAAACTTATTTAAGCTTATATATTTAGTAATTTTCAAATTAACTATTTATATATGATTTTTCCATGGTTAATTATAAACATTTCTGGGTTTTACTAACAAGAAAAAGAACGTAAATTTGATGTCCTTATTACTTGCCCAAAAATTTAAGACGAGTCATTTCATTGAGTTTGTCACACATCTTAACTAGATACTGTAGACTTGTTGTTACGGAGAGAAGAGAGAGAATTGCTAGCTCCTGGGGGCATCCAGACGTTGAGGATCACTGTAATAATTATTTGCTTTAAAAAAATAATAATATAGGAACTTCTCTGCAAAATGCTGCCGGCCAATTTGATGAATTTCTCCATGACGATGATTCTTTTTTAATCTATTATTTGCGAATTCACCTTCTATCGCTTTCACGGGACACGACTGATGTTGTTTATAATGGAGTTTTGCCTGGTAACAAACTACACTTAAATAGTTAATTAGTAGTTATCGATAATTATCAGTTCTTTTAATCAAGAAAACATGCCAATTGAGATTAAGACGTTTCTTTTTCACAGAACTAGATTATTAATTATAAGAAAGACGATGTTGACGGTTTCTAAATGCCATTCTCACAGAACTTTGGGATTTTGATGTAACGACGGATACTTATGATGACACAAGAACTACGTGGAATCAAAATTTAGATTTCAGTCAGAATATTTGCTTGCCATCTTCTGCTTTGTTGCTTGTCTATGTGGAGTTCACTTGATGTAAGTAGAGTTTTTTAGGCTCTACCCTCTTATCCTCTTTCCTCTTTATGCTGATATATTATGTGCAGCACTGAAACTGTAAGCACGAGGGGTGGATGACCCGTAGGCATGATAGAACTTTCGTCGAGGATAAGCAAACATTTTGCGTGGCAGCAGCACACTAGACAACTAGCACAACTTGAATCCTGCCTTCTTTCGGTTGGCGATGACACGAGAGAGATGATATCACCATGATGTCATAATCAAATGAAAGAGAAAAGAGAAGTCGATTGCCTCTTAAAATTGCTCATGTCTGTAAGATCAGCTGACCTTTTTTTCGCAATATTTCCCTCAAAAGTACTAAAAGTCTATTTTTAGATTATTTGGTTGGAGGTACACAATTTCCCATCCTAAAATGTTTGACTACGTAATTTCTACAACATCTCTCACAAGGACTAACCGTCCAATTAATTTGCGGTTCATAAGACTTGTTATATATATGGATCTTTTGCAAGTCTTCTTATTTACTTAAAAAAAAATCCATGGCTCGCGTCGCTATTTTACCTGTAATCTGCAGATAAATCTCATGGATGAGGGCTTGATACAAAGCTACGAGTATAAGAGCACGGCAGGCTATGGTTGGGCTTCGAACCAACAAACCGATAGAAGAACATGATCAAAGAAGTTACAGGATACTGCATCCATCAGTGACAACATTAAACCATTCGTTCATCATTAGCACAGTGCGTTCTGGTACAAGCAAAATTATGAACAAATGTTCAGAAACATCAAGTAGTCTTTCAAGATAAAAGGAGAGTCCTCAGGGAGTTACATTTTGATGACAGTTTATCCATATGAAGCAAAACCAGGATGCAAAGCTGTCGACAATATATACATAACAACTTGAACAAGTCAAGCAGAAAACATTGCTTTTATCCTCGTGGAAGGCATTCGCGAATTGCAATCGAAGTACTTTCAGCATTTCTCACATCTTTCGTAATTCTCAGCAAGACTTTGTCCAAGTCCTCTCTTTTTTGTTCATGATTAATTGCGGATGCACCCTTGTACTATGTGGGTATAACCACAGATACTCTACGAATATCATATTAGCACTAACATCTTCAGATGATGGGTATTTCTCCCTGTTTGGTTGAGATGTCGCATGGGAGTCATGTGACAATAAATAACCTTTTGCACTCAGTTTGACTAATAAAACCGAATAAATTATCTTCCAAACAGAGGGTCGAAAGTAATACCATTTGAGATTCATGGGTGTGAATGTTATGAATAGCTTACGAGGTATAAGTTATATAAGTTGTCTACACCATCATAGAAGGTGTATCTGCAATAACCCTTTGGCATATCCTTGAAAGCGGAAACAACGAACAAAGTACCTCTGGGGTATTGTCATTGAGTAGAATCAGGAGAATCGTCTCCTTTAAAATCCAGAATCCTTCATCTAATTTGACAGCATCTTTTCCCAAAGAAGTGTAAAAGGTTCCATCATCTCTAGCTCAGCTCTTCTAGGAAACTGCTGTCTTGTATGAAGCTGCAACCTCCAATAGATGAAGATAGCAAAGTTGATGCTGATTAAAGGAAGTTCTCTAGCCGTGACCCTTCAATTACTGGGCAGCAATACGAGCAAGTCTGGTGACGTTTCTCAACAGGAAAAGAAAAAGAAAAAGAAAAAGAAAGATGGTCATGTACAGTAACACAGGAAGAAATGACATTATGATAAAAGGTCTAGGTAAGGACTATGTAACAATGTCAATAAAGTGAACAATGGCAAACACTTGAATCATATCCTCCTAAGAATAAGAGATCAAATTATCATACAAGCACCACCTTCCACATTTAAATGGGGTTTTTTTCCTCCTCCTTTTCTGAACCAGGTTGCAGTTGAATCAGCAAGCGAATTTACAAAAATTCACAAGCCAGAAAGTCCAACAAAATGATATAAAAGTGGCAATGGATAAAAACAATATCTCCTGTGGACCTACAAATTTAATGGACTTGACCTTCATATAAACTGACTGACCTGTATCTAGTTGTGCGCAGCGGAACTCGAAAGCCAAATAGTGAACTCAAAAGCCAAATAGTGCACGAACAAGAACGAGAAAGATCACAACCAAAACCCAAGCACAAATCACAATCACAGCAAGACAAATCAATTTACGTGGTTCGGCAAGTTGTCTACGTCCACGGGGCAAGGAGGGGGGAGTTTTTACTATTAGAGATAAAGAAAATTACAAATAGAGTTTCAAATCTCACCAAAAACCCTCAAACAAAGCTCTCTAGATCTCTCACAAATCCTCCTAAAAAGGATGCAACAATCCTCTCTCGAAGACGGCTCAAATCATCCTTTGTTAACCCTAATTAATCAGGTTTTGGGTTATATATCAGCTCATAACGAAACGGGTCCGAAATCCAAACTCAACTCAAAACCCGATTGGCGGTCGACCGCCAAAACCGACGCGGTCGACCGCCCAGCAATCGACAGAACACTAAATTCCTACAGGGTATTACCAGTCGACCACCACAGTCGACCGAACCCAACTCCAGAGAAGAAATCGATTAAAGCAGGGGTTGCGTGGCGACTCGACGCGCGGGCAAGCCGGCGTCGACCGCCTCACCTCCACAAATCATCCTGGACCTCGTGCACGTTTCCGGTCGACTGCAGCTGACTCGCCGTCGACCGGACAACCTGAAAAACTATTTTTTACCATTTTTCTGAACTTCAACAAATCTCCACCTCGATGAAATTTCTCCCAAAACTTAGCCGACACAAAACATCCAAATATCTCACTTGTTGCGTCCAGTACGAAGTGGAATAAATCCTCGACAACGGACTCAATCTACAACAAGTCGGAAACCCGAACGAGAGCTCAAACAATCTCTCCCGTCCCCCTCGAAATCAACAAATCCAACCGGCTGCATCGAAAAGACTGTCTACGTATCCTCTTATCTAAGAAATCAAGTCGAACGTAGTTCACCCAAATTGCATCCAAAGGCCCTCAACATTGAAGAATGTTCAATAGCTTCAAATAATGACCAAATTTCATACCTGAAACAACTTTGGTCAACATATCCGCAGGGTTGTCCTTCATGTGGATCTTCTCCACTATGACGTCTTTATCATCCAAAACATCACGAACAAAGTAAAATCTGACATCAATATGTTTCGTGCGTGCATGATAAACCTGGTTCTTTGTAGATAGCCGACATGCTATCGTAATACACCCGAATGGTCTCCTGTGCAATCCCCAAATCCTCTAACAATCCATGCAACCACAAAACCTCATTAACAGCTTCAGTCACCGCCATATACTCCACATCTGTAGTAGAGAGAGTCACTGTAGACTGAAATGTACATCTCCAACATACCGGTACTCCTACCAATGTAAACACATATCCTAAAGTAGACCGGTGTTTGTCAAGATCCCCCGCATAATCTGAATCCACGGTGCCTTTAATATACCGTAGAATCCACTTCACGACCTCCCAATGACCCTCAATATCATGCTCACGGTCTGTGACAAATCTGACTTTGTACACACCATCGCATACATCAAGCTATTCACCGCACTGACATATGAAACCTTTGACATATAATCTCTATCATCAACCGAAACAGGTGACATCAAAGCTGAAAGCTTGAAGTGGGGAGCCAATAGAGTACTCACAACCTTTGAATTGCCATCAAAGCTAAATTTTTTCAACATCTTCTGCAAGTTACTCCCCTGTGTAAGCTTCAATCTTCCCTTTACCCTGTCTCTCTCGATCTCCATACCCAATATCTTCTTAGCTTCTCCAAGATTCTTCATCTCAAACTCGGATGACAGCTCTTTTTTCAACATTCGAATAGCCAAAGAATTCCTGAAAGCAATAAGCATATCATCAACATATAACAACAAATAAACGTACTCATCATCCTGTAGCTTGTGCAAGTAAACACATGAGTCATATGGGCTCCTCGTGTATCCTTAACCAATCATAAAACTGTCGAATTTCTTATACCATTGTCGCGACGATTGCTTCAATCCGTAAAGAGATTTTTTCAGTTTGCACATCAAATCCTCTTTTCCTGCAGTTTTGAATCCCAAGGGTTGTGTCATGTAGATCTTCTCATCTAAATCTCCGTGTAAAAAGGTTGTCTTAACATCCATATAGGCTAAATATAAATCCAGTTGTGCCACCAATGCCAATAAGATCTGAATCGACGAATGTTTTACAATGGGTGAAAATACCTCGTTGTAATCAACATCCTCAAACTGTGCATATCCCTTAGCAACCAATCTAGCTTTGTACCTAATGTCCCCAGTAGAAGATCCATCTTTCTTCGCATATGCCCACTTGCAACCAATAGCTTTTTTTTTTCCTTAGATAGCTTTGCAAGTTCTCAAGTGTCATTCTTCTGAAGAGATCACATCTCCTCCTCCGTAACTTCCCTCCACCTGATCGAATCAGAGCTAGACTCTGCCTCCCTGAATGTAGAATGAACAATATCATCAACGACCTTCACTGATAAAGTATATGCAACCATGATACCATTGTATCTAGCTGGTCGACGAATCATCTTTCTAGGACTATTTGCTGCAATGGACTCCTGAACATGATCATGCTCCTAAGTCTCACTAATCATTGTATCCTCTATATGCCTGACTATCATCCCATCTCCTCCCAGGGTCACATCTGTAGGAGCCTTAATGGATACAATGCTATCTGGAATGGGTTGAGTCACATTATCCTCCACCTGCTGTGATATCTTACTATTCTGGTCTTCCTCTACCTGCTGAGGAACTTGATGCCTCATCATGTACGTTTCATCAAATGTGACATCTTTGCTAATGACTATCTTCTTATCCTATGGATCACATAACTTGAAGCATTTAACACCTTCTTTAAATCCCACAAAAACAGCTTTCCCCGCCCTCGGATTTAATTTTTCATCATTGACATGATAATAAGCAGGACACCCAAATATCTGAAGCGACTTATAGTCACTAATCACCGAACCAGACTATCGCTCTATAGGAGTCTTCCCATGTATCGTAGTGCACGACAACCTATTGACGAGATAACTCGTATAAAATAATACCTTGGTCCAAAAGGATCTAGGAAATCCATTTTGTGTTATCATACATCACACCTTCTCCAACAATGTACGGTTCAATCTCTCAGCCACCACATTCTGTTGCGGTGTCTCTCGTATTGTGAAGTGTCGTCTAATGTCGTGATCCTGAAAAAACTACAGAAATAGATCACTCTTATACTCTCCACCGTTATCTGAACGAAGAGTCTTCACCTTTCTACCTGTCTGCAGCTTCACTTTCTTCTTTCACTCCATAAAAATATCAAGGACCTCATGTTTATTCTTCATTGTATATACCTAATTTTTTCTGTAATAGTTATCAATGAAAATGACAAAATAGTTGGCCCCACCAAGTGATGTATGATTGGAAGGACCCCAAACATCTGTGTGAATATAATCCAATATACCTTAGGTGTTGTGAATAGCGGTGTCGAACTTCACTCTAGTCTTTTTCCCAAGTACACAGTGCTCACACAGCTCCATCTTGTAAGTTTTCGTACCTTTCAATAGCCCATGTTTCGCCAATATCTGCAGGGACTTATCACCAGTGTATCCTAAACG